GCGCTTCCTCAAGGGACTCCAAACCCTATACCCAGACATTACACCACCTACCACCCGTGGGACCTTCATCTAGTACTATCTTGCCTAACTGAACAACCATTTGAACCCCTAGCCACGTGCTCCCTTTTACACCTCTTGATGAAAACAGCATTTTTAGTGGCAATTACATCTGCCAGACAGGCAGGAGAAATAGCAGCTCTTATGGCAGACCCACCATATACGCTATTTTTCAAAGACAAGGTTACCCTCAGGTTACACCCCAAATTTCTTCCAAAGGTACACTCGTCATTCCACATTAATGAGCCAATACACCTACCAACCTTTTTTCCAAAACCACACGTGAACTCGTTCGAAGCCTCAATGCATACACTAGATGTACGCAGGGCCTTGTCCTTCTATTTGGATAGAACCAAACCTTTTAGAAATTCTTCCAGACTTTTTGTCTCCATCGTGGAGCGCTCCAAAGGTACCCCTATTTCTACCCAGAGACTTTCAAGCTGGATTTCTCAATGCATCCGGCTGTGCTATCAGATGAAGAAGGTTACACCTCCAGACGGCATCATAACGCACTCCACGAGATCTCTGGCTGCCTCTGTTGCATTCTTACACAAAGTTCCCCTGGCTGATATCTGTAAAGCAGCCACTTGGTCCTCTGAACACACATTTGTTAAACACTATGCCCTTATTCAGGGCCCTCTATCTGATATACGCTTGGGCAGGGCGGTACTATCTACGGCATTCCTATCAGATCCGAAGTCCCTACCTCCTTGAGGCACACGGCTTTTAAGTCACCTGGAGTGGAGCACCCACAGGGACATCTCTCTCTCGAAGAACGTCAGTTACTGCACAGGGTGAGTAACCTCCTCTTCTTTACTTCTATGTAAACCAAGCAGGGGTCCAGGAAGTCATTTGTGCAACTGGCTTCCCCTGTGCTGCCTGATTTTTGACTTCTTAGTATCCTGACCTGACCTCCCTCATGACACTTGACTCCCAGTTGCCCTCTGGCCTACCTTGGGCTCTCAAGTTCTGGTAGCCAGTCCTTGTCTGGCTCTAGACTCCCACTCTGTCCGCTAGGTTAGACTGCTCACATTCTGCTTATGAAAGGGTCCCATTAGAGCCCACTGCACTAGGCCTCAGGCAGCCTCTCTGTTTGCTTGAGTAAGATACCTTTATCTGAAATATGTAGGTATATCTTGAGTTCTGTTCATACTTACTTACCTTCCAGATTGGGTGCCAGCTGTGATAGGGATGTCCTGCAGTCACTCTTTAAGTAGAACTCTTACTTCCACCTCCATGTTTGAGAACTGTTTGTCAGTCATTTAGCGTGGAATCTGTGTGGATAATCACTCAAAGAAAGAATGCTTACTTACCCTACAGCAACTGAGGTTCTTTTGAGATGTGCTACTCATGCAGATTGCATAACCTGCCCACCAATTTGGAGTCTTATCCACTTGGGATTCTTATTGCCAAAGGAACTAAGTGGTGGTTGAGGCCACCCTGCCCCTTACACCCTCTGCTACAGTGGTTGTGAGGGCACATTAGGGTGCTGGCACAGCAACAATGGATGTTGCTATTCAAAAAGATTATGGAGCATCTAGAATGGTGTCTGTGTAAACAACACATCTGAGAATCACAGTTGCAATGTAAGTACAAATATTTTTGGATGAATCAGCATTTTCTAATGAAAAAATGTCATCAAATTTCTAGTTAATTTACTAAAGCTAGGTCCCCTCCATCTCCTATGCAAGATCAGTGCCCTAGGAATTATTGTGAGTTTTCTGAGCCTCTTACTCAGGGCTGTAGCTGAATGCCACAATCTAGCCCTCTATTACCCTCCTGACCTATGTTCTCCATTGTCCCTTTTATTTTATTCCTGTGTCTGACTGAAACAGCTGGAAATGTCCTTGCAGCAAAGCTTTGTTTAAAATGAACTAAAAAGTTTCTTGTAAAATAGCTTTTGCCAATTCTAGTTGTTATCCAATAAATTGTGCTGTGTGGGGTCACTCTAGATTCTTTTATGATTTCCTCTTCACTGGTGGTATTGTTTCATTAATGCTGTAGTAGCCAGCCTGGTGTCTTAAATGGTAACAACCTGTATAATAGCCCACTGAATGAGAGGACTAAGGTTATCAGAGACAGAACACTGAGGACAAGATGTTCTTGTCCTAGCACAGGAGAATAGCTCACAAGATGTTGATCTTATGCCCTACCTGTCAGGTGGCTATAAAATGCATTATAGCACCCTGAGAAAGCATAGGCTGTTGGCCTAAGTATAAGCCTGCTAAAGAGGGGGAGGAAACAGACAAGATTAATGCCCTTGCTGAGAAAACTATAATACAACTCTTTCATACATCTCCATTGTTAAACTCCATTTCACAGCTCTCTGCAGATATAGGGCTTGACTCAAAGTCCATTGAAGTTAGTGGGAGTCTTGACTTCAATGGACTTTAGATCTGGTTTCTTAATGTCCAATTTCCTTCATGAGTGGCCCATTCCTGAAGTTCTTTCTTACACAAAATGCTGATTTGACTTTCATGAGAGTTTTTTGCCTGAATAAAGATTGCAGGGCTGAGCTTTCTAGCACTTTACATAATATGGTAAAGATAATACAGGGTACATGGCTCCATTTCCTCAGGTCTGTGCATGCTAAATTCAGCCCCCTTTCGAGTACGCATTATGATACAGTCTATAATTACATGATAAACCCTTTTCTCTCCAAGACGCCTGCCTCATTCAATGCACAATGTGAACCTTCTCTGCGGATGAATCAGGGCTCTGTAGTGAAGGAGGATATTGTCTGTAGGACCCCTGCCTCATTTGTTGCAGAAGTTGGAAGATAAGTAGTGAATAAGTTAGGAGACTGCAGGAAGAGAAAGCAGGGTCTCATGGTTAAAACACTTGTATGTCACCCTGGAGAACTGACTCTTCTCTACTTGTGCCACAGAGATCCTGTGACATGCTGGACAAGTCACTTACAATTAGTTCGGGTTATGTTCTGAATTTTCGAGATGTCCAACCTGAAACCCTGGGTCCAGATTTGCAGAAGTGTTAAACACTCACCATGGCAGCTGAAATCCTTGGGAGCTGTGCTTAGCATTATATAGCACTTTGTACGTATAAAGTACACAGAAAAAAATCAGGTCCCAGGTATCTCAGGCACCCAGAATTAATGGATACTCTGTGCCTCAGCTCCCCATTTGTAACATGAGGATAATAGTCTCTCACCTCACAGGGGAACCTATAGTGATGAGCACCATAGAAAAGCCTATGAGGACATAATTTAAATCCTGCTCTGAAGATAGAATTAGTGGGTGCCACACTGAACGAAGAGAAAACAAAATATTGAATAGTCGCTCATTGAGTGAGTGCTGTCCGAGCTGTGCACTAAAGATATGTTTCCAGCTCAAGGAGCTCTGATTGAGAGAGCTTGCTAAAAATAGAAATGTAGTCACGGTGGCATGAGTGGTGGGAGGGGCTAGCTGCCCCAAGTATGTCCGAAGTACAGTAACTCCTCACTTAACGTTGTAGTTATGTTCCTGAAAAATGAAACTTTAAGTGAAATGATGTTAAATAAATCCAATTTCCCCATAAGAATTGATGTAAATGGGTCGGGGAGGGGTTAGGTTCCAGGGAAATTTTTTTCACCAGACATATATAATTTAATGCTGTGCACAGCGATGATGATTGAGGTTGGTTGAGGTGGTGAAGTCAGAGAGTGGAAGAGGGTGGGATATTTCCCAGGGAATGCCTTACTGCTAAATGATGAACTATCAATTGGCTGAGCCCTCAAGGGTTAATTCATTGTTGTTAATGTAGCCTCACACTCTACAAGGCAGCACGAATGGAGGGAGGGGAGACCGCATGGCAGACAGAAACACACACCCCGTGTGAGAGAGAGAGATTGCCCCTTTAAATAGGCTGACCCCACTCTAAGTACACCGCCTTTTTAAGTAGATCAGCAAGTTGAGACAGCAGCTGCTCCCAGGAAGCTCCCTCTGTCCTGAGCCCTGTCCTGTCATTCCCCTCTCCCCTATGGAGATGGGGTAAGTGGAGTGCAGGAGCAGGGGGGAGGGGGATACCCTGACATTAGCTGCACTCTCTCCCCCCCTGCACAGCAAGCAGGAGGCTCCAGGGAGCTGCTCCAAGGCAGAGGGCAGGAGCAGCATATGGCAGTGTGGGGAGGGACATCTGAACTGCTGGCAATTGATAGCCTGCTGGGCGGCTGCCGCACAGGGAACTTAGGGGAGCGGGGAGCTGATAGGGGGGCTGCTGGTCCACGCTGGTTCCAAGCCCCCACCAGCTAGCTCCAATGGGCTGCTCTCTCTTCAAGCAGTGGACAAAGCAGGCAGCTGCCAAACAACGTTATAAGGGAGTACTGCACAACTTTAAACGAGCATGTTCCCTAATTGATCAGCAACATAACAATGAAACAACGTTAACCGGGATGACTTTAAGTGAGGAGTTACTGTACAGACATATCCTAAATATAGTAGGGACCTGGGAGAGGGAGTGAAAATAACATGAAATGGTGTAAAGACTGTGCATTCATGATGGTACAAGGGGCTGAATTAAGGTTGCACAGGCAATCTTAACTCAGGCATTTTCCTAACTTTTAAGTGCTTGACTTTACTACCTTTATGACATTGTTTTAACAGGATTTGTGTATAATTTCATAGGTTTTTATAAAGCAAACTGAAAAGATAAATTCCATCATGTGGCTGTCACATTCTTGGGTGAAATTTGGACCAGTGAGAGGTTGTGTCACCACTTATATTATAATTCCGAGTGCCCCAACATGCTTCTGCTACTTGTGGCTCCCTGCTGGGGACATACTCACAGCCAGCGTGCACTTCATGTTCTGTGTGCTGTACAGCTCTGATTCAAGGTGGTTGAATCCAACTATCTTGCTAACAATTATCACAGACACACTTTTGTCTTTACTAGACTTGGTTAATGATACCAGGTGCCTCCAACATGTTCCCAGTCTTGAACTTCCCCAGACCGTGTGCTCTGCAATGTCCAGTCCTGTTTCAACTCAGAGCAATACAATCCATTTGCTCCTTTAAGGAGACAAAACCCCACAGCTTGCCACATTAACTGGAGCTGACATTTGTTTTAGTACAAACACAGCACTGTTGGTTTAGATTAACAGTAAAACAAGTTTATTAACAAAAGAAGACAAGATATTAAGTGAGCTCAAGTATAAGAGAAAGTTGGAAATGGTTTCAAACAAATGAAGTGGAAACATGCATTTAAAAGTCTAAAACAATCTAGCAAGGTTCAGTTCAAGGCTTTGTTCAAGATAACTTTTCTGACCATCTGTCTTTCAGCAATATGAAAGAGAGAACTTGAAGTTTTCTGCCTCTTTTTTTTTTTAATTTATAGTCCAGTGAATCTTTGAAATGGATTCTTCTGAAGCTTATTCCTCAAAGTAAAGTTTATTCAATCAGTGAGACAGGCAACATAGAGTCGGGTGGTGAAGGAGGCTCCATGCTCCCTCCCACATGCCTCTGTTTGCTAAAATGCAAATTGTTTGGTTTCCTGCAATCTTCTTCTCCTGCTGTCTTGATGGTTCTGATAACTGTTTGTGCAAACTGAGGTAAACACACATTCCTTTGTTTAGGATAGGCCCGTGTCATAAATATAAAGGGAGGGGTAACAAACTTCCTGTATACAGTACTATGAAATCCCTCCTTGCCAGAGGCACAAAATCGTTTTATCTGTAAAGGGTTAAGAAGCTCAGGTAACCTAGTTGGCACCTGATCAAAGGACCAATAAGGGGACAAGATACTTTCAAATCTGGCGGAGGGGGGGAAGGCTTTGTTTTGTCTGTTCTTTGTCTGTTCTGTGTGCTTGCCAGAGACAGATCAAGAAAGCAAGCAATCCAGCTCCATTAGGATTAGTAAGTACTAGCAAGGGAATGCGTTAGCTTACTTTTATTTTGGCTTGTGATTTTCTCTGTACTGCCTGGTTTTCTTTTTGTAACTTTAAAGTTTTGCCCAGAGGGAAATCTGTTTTGGATCTGACTGCTCTGTGAGATTATCTTCCATTCTAATTTTACAGAGGTGCTTCTTTTAACTTTTTTCTTTCTAATAAAGTTCTGTTTTTTTTTAATCTGATTGGTTTTTTTTAGTGGTCTAAAAAAATCCCAAGTTGGTTTGTGCTCATCTTGTTTATTCTCAAGCCTCCCTAGGAAAGGGGGTGTAGGGCTTGTGGGAATATTAAGGGAAAGTAGGAACTCCAAGTGGTCCTTTCCCTGAGTTTTGTCTAATCACTTGGTGGTGGTGGCAGCGTTACCTAATCCAAGGTGCAAGGGAGAATTTGTGCCTTGGGGAGTTTTTAACCTAAGCTGGTAGAAATAAGCTTAGTGGGTCTTTCATGAGGGTCCCCACGTCTGTACCCTAGACTTCAGAGTGGGGAGGGAACCCTGACAACCCGTTTAACAACTTTTGCCTAGGCAGGGCTGTTTGGTTTTCAACAAGTAACATCATACAAGGGGAGTTGATAGCTTTACATCAGCAGCAGGGTTGGAAACTTTTAGATCCATGACACAGCACTCTGCTGCTTGAACAAATGGAGTTAGGTTGTCATGCTTTGTCTGGACCAGTGATACCAGACCCACTTATAATAACTTGTCCTGTTCAAAACTAATTAAATAGATTTTGTTTTCCTCCAACTGCTGCTTTAAAAACTGGAGATATTATTCCTTGGCAACCTGGGTCAACTGTCTAAAGGCATCTAGACTTTCTATTTACTCCCTGGGAGTGACAACTCAATCCGTAAGCAAGTCTTCAATCCACTCACCAGATGAGACTAGGACTCTGTTTCCACTTCAAAGGATTCATCCAGATTGTCTGACTCCCTCCTCCTTCCCCTTCGCCCTTCAGGGAAAATTTTAAAAAGTGTATCCAGTGAGTTTCCTTAACAACTGATCAAGAATTATCATCATATTATACCTGATAAGGTATAATATTCCTCTGGCATATGCCTGTAAAATTTCACTGCACCTGTAACAGGTATGTGAAGTAAAATGAGCCATTCCTTAACATTTATTTTCTTGAACGTGAAAGATACTGATTTTGTTCCAAATGTCTGCAATGCATACCATACAGCCGTGAACAAAGATAACATTTGGAGAGAAAAATGGCCTTACAAAGACAAGTAGATTGTCAAGACAAGACTATTTAAATAAATATAAAATGTCACCTTTGTCTATAAATTGCAATGTCTGACTAGTGCAGTAGTTTTGCCTTTCTTTCTGTACAGAAACAAGTACATTTAACACTGTATTTTAAATGTTTTGGCATTTATTCATTCAGACGTGTTTACTAGAGTCATTAGAAGTCAGATTAGGTTTGATGTTCACTGCCCTTTAAAGCAAGCCCCAAAACAAAAGGCAAAACATGTATCTCAAATGTCAAGCATAACAAATCTCTCACTTACTAGTCAGGATTTCAGGATGTGCATTTACAAAAAAAAATCCTGATAGGGATTAAAGAGAGAAAACTTCAGAAAATGTAACTGTCACTTAGGAGACATTCTTTTGTATCCAGACAAAAGTAATTCTTCAATTTATAGTTATAGAAACAGAACAAAATGAATATGGGCAAGTGAAAATGTGAAAAGAGAATATTTTTTATGTATCAGCTGATAAATTGCCTAGGGTAAGCTTTATATTATTGATTGTGTTTAAATGGGATCATAATTTCTAGTAAAATAGTAAATACAAGTTTCTGTTTTCAGCTCCCAAACTTCTCTGAATTTAAATATGAATTTGGATATTTTTGAAGTTTTAGCTATTTCATCCAAATAAACATTTCATTTAAGCATTTGCATGTGTTCTGTATGATTTGTATATGTTTACATAGAAAAATCACATACGCGGTATATAAATAAGAAAAGAATTCCCTAAAAAAGGGGCATGGTCTGGCATGGCCTATAAGGGACACTCATTCAAAGAGTCCTGATCTAGTAGTTGTTGATGTGGTTTAGGCAGAAAAGCTATGCTGTAGCTGAAGTGAATACTACCTGTAGTAGCTTCCTATATTTGTGAAGAAACTAAAAAGACAGATGAGGTAAAGAGTAGGTCGAACATGGACAATGTATGGACAGTGCATGCTGCACAGGGATTGGTTCCTGCAAAGTAACCAATCCAATCCAAAAATGTGTAACGCATTGTATAGTAATTGCAACAAAATGTGCAATGAATACACAGGTAGAGGGTGTCTGAGTAACTTTAGAGCTGTGATTGTACCTTACATCCACCTATCCCACGCGTCTAATCGACTCAGTGTAGTGTTGATGTATGCCAAATAAAGATCTCAGTGACAGTCTGGAGTCAAACTGAGTTCTAGAGAAGCTGAGTGGAAAATAGGTTTCAGAGGGAATCTCAAGAAAGTGGTGCTGTGACTAGACCTCTAATGTACAGACCCAATGTAAATATTAGTACTTAAAAACACTGGAACACACTATGCATGTGAATGGAGCCTTCCATTTGTGGATCGCCCTAACATCATACGAAAGGGGATGTTTAGCCAGCTATGAAACATTCTATCAATCTTACCCTAAACCTTTTGGAGAGCATACAAGCTGTACCATAGCGTTAGATAAGCACATGCGATTCCAGGGCTCTACAGTCATAGGTATTCCACACCATGCTGCCCATCACTTTTTGAGTCCAAGAACAGTGTTGGGGAAAGTATTCTGGTGGCAAGTGATCCTTTGCCCAAAACTTGAGCTAAATCTAAACCTCAGATCTGAAAAGGTTCAGAATATTTTTATTACTTTCACTGGCCTTTTTGCTTCTGAGTAAGATCAGAAATATCATAATCAAAATCCCTCAAAAATGGACACTCTAGTGGTATACAACACTTGTGGCTCAGCTGGAAGCAAGAAATATGGTATCAGCAATCATAGGAGAAATGCCATTGCTATCAGACTTTCAGCCCAGTTTCTCATCAAAATCTCTATGGTCCAGATCTGTTTAAAAATCTGAACAACTGGGTGAAATTGAACCCCTTGAGGATCATTCTTCACTAATGCCAAAGTAAGAATATACATACCCCCACATTCTGTGATGATTGCAAGTCAGTCTTAAAGCTTTCAGAGCCTCACTGTTACTTGCACATTAACTTGATCTGCATCCTGTTAACAAAAATTGAACTTCAGGGAGAGGCTTGAGCTAACCATTTACTAGATGACCTAAATATTTCAGTGCAATAATTGACAAAGGAAAAAAAGACTCTGCCATGGAGAAGTTCAGGATCCTGAAAGTGTCAGACAATATTGTGAATTTGAAGGCAGCTTGGGTAACTTTTTTTTTCTAGTGACAGGCTCATCACTGTGTTGACAGAATGGTGCAGCATTACTCCAGCATTCTGAGAATAAGAATGCTAAATATTTTCAAACTTCTGAGGCCTGGTCTACACTACGAGTTTAGGTCGACTTTAGCAGCGTTAAATCGAATTAAGCCTGGACACGTTCACACGACGAAGCCCTTTCTTTCGACTTAAAGGGCCCTTTAAACCGGTTTCTTTACACCACCTCCGACGAGGGGATTAGCGATAAAATCGGCCTTTGCGGGTCGGAATTGGGGTAGTGTGGACGGAATTGGACGTTATTGGCCTCCGAGAGGTATCCCACAGTGCTTCATTGTGACCACTCTGGACAGCACTCTCAACTCAGATGCACTGACCAGGTAGACAGGAAAAGCCCCGCGAACGTTTGAATTTCATTTCCTGTTTGCCCAGCGTGGAGAGCACAGGTGACCACACAGAGCTCATCAGCACAGGTAAGTCCCAGGATCGCAAAAGAGCTCCAGCATGGACCGAACGGGAGGTACGGGATCTGCTCGCCATATGGGGAGATGAATCAGTGCTAGCTGAACTCCGTAGCAGTAAAAGAAATGGCAAAGTATTAGAAAAGGTCTCCAAGGCCATGAAGGACAGAGGCCATAACAGGGACACACAGCAGTGCCGTGTGAAAATTAAGGAGCTACGGCAAGCCTACCACAAAGCCAGAGAAGCAAACGGAAGGTCTGGGGCAGAGCCGCAAACTTGCCGCTTCTACGCGGAGCTGCATGCCATTCTAGGGGCTGCAGCCACCACTACCCCAACCGTGTGCTATGACTCCCTCACTGGAGAAACACACAGGGAAGAGGGTTCGGGGAACGAGGAAGATGAGGATGGAAGTAATGTAGGTAGCTCACAGCAGCAAGGAAGCGGAGAAACCGGTTTCCCCAACAGCCAGGATATGTTTGTGACCCTGGACCTGGAACTAGTAACCCCCGAACTCACCCAAGATAGGTGGCGTCAGCTTGCAGACAGAAGGCAAGAGTCGATGCTCCGTCTGCTGGAGCATCAAACTGATATGCTCCAGCATATGGTTGAGCTGCAGGAAAGGCAGCAGGAGCAGAGACCGCCGCTGTGTAACCAACAGCCCTCCTCCCCAAGTTCCATAGCCTCCTCACCCAGACGCCCAAGAACACGGTGGGGGGGCCTCCGGCCACCCAGTCACTCCACCCCACATGATTGCCCAAGCATCAGAAGGCTGGCCTTCAATAAGAGTTAAAGTTTTAAAATGCAGTGTGTCCTTTTCCTTCCCTCCTCCTCCACCCATCCCGGGCT